GCATCAAGTTTGAATGTAATAACCCGAAAATTTACCTGTATGTTTGTGTAACGTGAGGAGAAGGTTGCAGCAGGACGATATCAGGAGTGGTAGGCAGAGTGAGATGGAAGTTCAAGTTAAGTCAGTAAAGGAACTTAGTGCACATAAGAGCTTTTAAACTGTATGCGCTGTTTCAAAGTCAAGAGCTTGCTAGTTACACCATCAGGTTCAGGAAGATGGAGGCAGGTGTTGCAGATTGGTACTGTCCCTAAAACCACCTTTTCTCTACATTGTCTTTTTCCTGCAAACACTGAAAATAAGTCATATGTTTTTACAGTGCGATGTGTTAATATATGTGAAACGTTTGTGTTGTTATGATGTCAAACATCTTGTTGGAAGGAGAGACGTCACCAGATAGATGCAATTTAAAGACCCCATGAAGAAAAAACAGATTTGAGTGGAGACGTTATGGCATTATTTTCTCCATTGTTGCTGATTGCATCACTAGAGAAGGGCATCTTTTTCAGTCTAATTCACATAGACAATGGAGTTTGGGTGCAGTGCTGGGAGCTGCTTTCTACATTATTGTTTCTACAAGTCATTCTACTTCAGCTTTGCCATCAGCATGTTAGATGTCAAGGTACTTGAAGTTAAAGGAAGTGTGGAGTTAAAATCTCTATCTGCAGCCATAATTCATCTTTGTGCTTTGAATATTCTGTAACCTTGAGCTCAGAGACTCAGTCCACACAACTCATTTATTCATTTATTTTTCTTCCTGAGCTCCAGCGTCTGTTTTATGGGGTCTTTAAGTTTCTAAACTAATAGACACTATTAATAAGAGCCTGTTCTTTTCTGTTACATTTTGCTTGTAGTTCCACATATCAAAGATGAATTAATGCACATCCTACAAACTGGACTGTTGTGTGTGTGTGTGTGTGTGTGTGTGTGTGTGTGTGTGTGTGTGTGTGTGTGTGTGTGTGTGTGTGTGTGTGTGTGTGTGTGTGTGTGTGTGTGTGTGTGTGAGAGATCTAAGCTGTTTCCTCTTCAGCATCTGTTGTACTTTTGTGTAGAGTTCTTTCAGATTATATAAGTATGATTGCACTAAAATTGTACAGAGCTTCTCATTCAGCTCTGTTTCTACCATTGAGGCTCTTTGGAGAAAAAAGGGGAATCCTATGATGCCTCACTCTTAAGCTGAGGGTTCCAGTTGGAAAAAAATGAATTTAATTGAAAGTGCGTTGGTGTGTATGTGTGTGTGTATGCAGTGTTGCACTCAGAGGATGGCCAAGGTGTGTAAATACGAGCAGAAGGTGAATATAATGAGAGCGCTCACTGCAAGAAGTCATGATCTTATTCCCAAAAGTGTGGGACCAATCAGAATTTGAGAAAATGAACAACTGTCTTTCCGAAAGTAGAGAACTAAAATAGTCCATTTTAATGTTCATATTTAGTTTTTCTCATATTGTGTAGCAGTACTTGAGTAAATTTCCATCTGGACTGATATTTCTTCTTTCCCTGAAGACGACAGGTGTTCAGCTTTAAGAGAGAGATGCTCATGTTCACAAATGTAGATTGGAGAATGGATTAATTGATTTCTTCAGTGTAGAAATGTTTCCCTTTACAACTAATAACCACAAAGTAAAAAACTCATTTTTTCCATTTGAGATCAAGTCTTGGCAGAGGCCTCTGTTTTGTGAGAGTCTTTCCATGATTTTAATAAGCAAGGACATGGAGGTCATGCAGAAATCCCACTGAATACTTTTTGGCGCTCGTATATTTGGATGTTTTTGACTTTTAAGATGGTTGAGTTTATTTTGAGTAAGAGGACATACTTGTTAAATTATTGAATTACACACTTGATATTTATCACTAAAAGTAACAGGACAGAAGGCGTTGGTGCAGATTCTGGTATTTTAAGCCTATTATAGGAAGCAAAATGTAATTAAAGTGTAAGGTATATGGAGGCCATATGTACTTGGTGCTGTTCACAGGAAAAGTAAACAGCACTGTGTCTACCCTAAACCACAGCACTTTGGCAGTAACAGGTGGTTTTTGAATAAATTTACTTCATCATTCTTGATTTTTCAATTCCTCGCTTCTTAGCATTCTGTCACTTTTTGGTTTCCTTTGAAACATGCCACAAATAAGTTTTTTTCCTTTGTTTTGTTATGCTTTTGGGAGTGGTCAGACCAAGGTAATGGTAATGGTAATATACAATAAAATCCTTTAAGTGTTGTTTCGGGGCTTGTAAAATAATAAAATAATGTGGATGAAATGACTTCCCACACTTTATAATTCACTGTTAAATATGTTCTGCGTGATTGAAACAAATAGCAATGAGAAGCATTTATTGTCTTTACTGTAAAAGAGGGTGTACATACTGTAACTGTGTAACATATTGTATATTCATTATGCCTGGTGTGTGTATGTATGTGGGGGATGCTGCTCTGCAGTGTTTGCTGGCAGTGTAAGTAGAGTCGGGGTATTGGTGGTTACTGACTGGCTGTGATTTAATACAAAGATTGACTAAAAAAGAAAATATATTTATTTGAAGTAAGTTAGTATCTCAGACTAATCAGTTTTAATGTAAAATAGAAATGTGTTGGATGGAAATGAAGGACTGTTCAGAGAACCGATTTGTTCGAGGGCTGCTTCTGACAGAAGCTTTCTGATTTTGTTTCCTTGAGTAATATTTTCTCCCCTTCTCCTGAATAAAACTGATTGAGCAACTGAAAGTTTGTCTGGATTTCTTTATCATTTTGTAATAATTCCAAACTGTTGTGTTGTGATACACATGAATCAGGCAGTAAGGAAACAGCTGACATTTCGATTTGTTGAGGGTGTGACTAATAATATAAACAATAGCTACAGCATGAATGGCGCAAGGACCCTGAAACTGAAGCAGCTATATTATTTACACCTGAGGTGATCTTACAAAATGTCACTTAAAAGGTTTACTGCTTTGCCCAGTTCTGATCAGATATAGTAAATACCAAATGCACAGAGAACCTGTGAGGAAATCAGTCCAAATATCAGTTTGGCCTGTAACATTTGAACCCTCTCAGAAAAACAAACTACTTCAAACCCATACTTCTGCCAGAAAACGAACAAATTGCCAGGAAAACAGTGCCGGGCGCACAACTCCCAATACTAAAGACCCTTTTCCATTGGTCCAAAAACCCTCTAACAACGTGCTTTTGCCGTCAATGGAAAAAGGGTTTCATCGGCATTCACACCCGGGTCAAATGACTCTGCAGTAGACACGGGTTTCTATCGGCTCCGATCGGCAATGATGTAAACGCGACACCCGGGTGAACTCGTTGATGTTCACCCCTTTCCTGCTGTAAGGTCTTTCAGAGACGCTGTAGACACTCCTGTCACCTGTACAGCTGCTGTTAAACCAGAAACACCGCGGCTAACTGCATGAAAGAGTGAAGCTGCAGCGTGATGACCTCACGGCTTGCAGTTGTGTGTGTCCTCAGTACGAACTGACGGGCAAACTCGACTGACAGTGGAAAAGGGGTCAATCGGCTATTATTAGCGGGTTTACAAACTCGTGTGCACCCGCTAATTTTAGTGGAAAAAGGGAATAAGTAGCTATTTCGGGTGCACAGACGTGGCTGAATACAAGGTGAAGGAATGCCGGCACTCACAATAGAATAACCTCTGTAGTCTAATATAAGGCAAAAAAAAAAAAAACGACCGCGTTTGAAGCATGAAGCCTTCATCAGTGTAAGAGACAACGGTAACTCAGGCACATGTATATATAGACATCTGACGCCGGAGCCTGATTGCTTGATTACTGATGAGGTGCACCTGTGAATCAGCCACACCCAGGGGAGTAGAATATAGATAGGCCTAATCCAATGAATATCAAGGGTCTGAATTTAATATTAAAATTAATCAGTGCAGTTAACCCTTAGTTCCCTTTTTGCAACTGATACACTGATTAATGTTAATGTTTGTGCATTCTGATGTTATGATTCTAACCCTAACCCTATGTGCTTTTATTATTTTTAATCTATATTGTGCTGAATATGTCTTATGAAGAAACAGTGTGATGGTGTATGCCTATATAAGTGTTTGCTTGGAAATACTGTATCGTCTATTTTTACTATTTGTTGCTCTTTTTCTGATGACATGTAGCCACTCCCCCGGGTGTGGCTGATTCACAGGTGCACTTCATCAGTAATCAAGCAATCAGGCTCCAGTGATTTACCACTGTCTCTTTATGCTGATGACTGCTTCATGCTGAACCGCTTCCCTTTTTTTGCCCTATATTAAAATACAAAGACTATTTCATTGTGAGTGCTGGCATTTCCTTCACTAAACTAATTACCATTAGATAATTTTTGTTTGATTTTGACATGTACTTAAGACTTCAACTAACAATTCACTTCACTATTGATAACTCAGCGGATGATTTTCTTGATTATTTGTTAAGTCTGAGGAAAATTTTCTAAAGCTCAAGGTGACGTATACAAACAGCTTGTTTTGTCTGATCATCCAAACCCCAAACATATTTAATCTAATACCACAGAAGAGTTTTTTTTTTGTTTTTGTTTTTTTTAAAGAGCAAATATTTGCATTTGAGAAGCTGGAACCAGTTCATTTTTCATTTTTGGCAAAAAAAGAGAAATACATAAGCAATCAATGGACTGTCAAACTAAACGCTGGTTAATTTTTTATTGATCAATTGATTGACTTTCAGATCCACACATATTCCACATACCGTTTGGTAGCAGCAAGTCGAAAAACTGCAAGTCATAGGAAATGTCAGCGGATCATATTTGCATTTTGTCCTTTTTATTTTCTTTTTTTTTACTTCTACCTCTGGCTTTTGTTTGTGTTACTTCAAAATTAACATCTTTTCTTTCATAAGGTGTTTACATTTTTTTTTCTGATGCCCCCTGAACCCCTCAGTACATAAGCTCTCTGAACAGTTCCAATGTACCTGTGACGTTTACCACCATAAAGAGGAAAAGAACACGAAGAGGAAGCTTCTTTCAGTACACTGAGGTTTTAATGTGTTGACAAAGCACAGCAGTCCTGCAGAGTAAAGTCATCCTTTCATCCACATCAGTTTGAACAAGATGCAGGGCCTGGTTTCTGCAGGAGTTCACACATTCACACTGTATCTCCCTGCTCTTCTACACACAGAGAGAGAGAGAGACAAGAAAAAAAAAACCCTCTCTCCTACAACCTATAGTATCAAACAACCTGCAGACGTCCATATACATCACTGCATTAATATATTTTTTGTAAGTTTTTCAAATATTAATTCCTTATACAGATACTCATTTATTCATAATCATTTAAATATTCAGCAATTTCATACATTGCAGACTAATTTCTCTAGACAGTGGAAGTACAAGTCCCATAAGATGCACCACACATATACAGAATAACGCATTAAGATATGTCCATAATAAACTATTTAACGTTAAATAATGAGTAGGATATGCTTTATTGTGTTTGCTTTGCAGTCGTGAAGTCCTAAGATACATCATGGGGTGACTGAAGTGTTTCAGGTAGTTTGTAAATTACATCAATTGAGGTACAGAGATGGGCTCTGTTGTGGCTGGTGGGTTTTTGTCATCTTTTGTTTGGGGTCAAAATACAACACATCACACACTGACAGCAGAGTTCAGCGGATGGAAAAAGAGGTGAAAAGATGGGTTCGACTCACAGGCTCTCACACAGCAAAGTGAAGGTGAAACAGAAGGAGCGTTTGATAGTTTTATGCATAGACTGTGGCTGCTTTCATGTTCTCACTCACCCCCGTGACCACTGAGAGAGGGAAGAAAAGAAAAAAAAGGAGGAAAAAACAGAAAAGACATGGCAGATTATCAACCTGAAAAGTTTTCCTGTGAGTATATCAGAAGATTTTGATGCATGATGTGAACAGAGCTGACTTAAAAACTTTAAAAGGATGCATAAGGAACGCAGGGTGCAGCCCAGGCCACAGATGCCCTAGTTGAAAGTCTACTTGGCTCTTGTTTGACTGGTGGCATGCAGCTGTCTGCAGAAGAACATCCTTTATATTGCACTTTCAACTTAGATCCCACCTCCATAAGATAATGCAGTAACAACGTTTTCGTGAAGAGGAGAGGAGGGAAGTGGGAAAAGTGGGAAACCATTTTTCTTTGTTGCATAGGTTCTGTGGAAGCACAGACAACAACGTTTGAAGAGGTGGTTTTGTCACAGTTGTGTGAGATTACACTCAAAGTGATTCGATTACCCGAGAAAACACAGGTGGATTTAGTGGCAGTGAGGCAATCTGGACGCTACAACAAGCAAAAGGAAAAGAAAAAAAAAAAGGATCCAGACAGTCCATCACATGATCACTCCTCCTGTCCTACAGCAAAGGGAGGAAGAGGGAAAGCAAGGATGAAGAGCAGCAGCTCCCCTATCTGTCCAGATATCTGAAGATGAGGAGTCTGTTACCCCTCTTAATTCATTTAAGCCCTCCTCCCTTGTGTGTGTGAGTGAGTGAGTGATGGATGGTGCAGTCTGTTTCGCAGCTGATGGGCAATGGAGTTTTAGAAGAGAGGAGGTAAAAGAGAGGAAGTGGGTGGGGGGGGTTTCTTCTAAGAGTCGAATGGCGGCAAGGGGCTCTCAGGGCGAGAGGGCCCACCCTTGCTTGGCCGGCTGTTTCAGTGAAAAGAGTAGAAACAGAGAGAAAACAGAAGACCTTACACGATGAACGGGATGAAAAGAGAAACCCCGAAATCATAAAGGTGAGGAGACACCAGGGAAGTCTTTATGTTTATCTGCAGCTCATAATGATGGTAATGATGAAAAAAAAAATCGCAACATCTAAGATAAATACTGACTGTATGAATGGCACAGTTCTTCTCTTTGGATGTTTAGTTCTCAAGTACAAGCGGACCTGATTCAATGTGATTAAAGTGTGTCCTCGCCTGTGATTTTGGGGGACCACAATTACAGATCAAAACCTGAATACAACAGTTACAAACAAAACACAAGAGTTTCAGGGATGCAATATCCAGTCCAGTTCAGCTTGCATCGCCTCCCTTAAAGGAATACTCCACCAAACTTTTGTGTCTGACATGCTGTGAGGAAAAAAATAGTTTTTTAATAAGTAGAAATTAATTTAAAAACATGCATCATGCAGTATAATAACCAAGTCTCAGGTATCCCCTTGCTCAGTGCATCTTAAAAAACACTGACACTAACATAACTGAAGGATTAGTTATGGACTTTCTGATATTGTTTTGCAGTTTGGAGTCTTTTTTTTTTTTTTTTTTACTTCAAAAATAGCTTCCACTTTTGAAAACTCTGCTGAAAATGTTTTTTCTTCAGCATGACAGGCAATACAGAGCAATTCTGTGATACAAAACCTAACATCTTTTGGTGAAGTATTCCTTTAGAAAAAATAAGAATAAATCAGAAAAAAACATAAAAGAAAGATAAGATTAAACAAACGTTAAATAAGAGAATAATACGTCAGTCAGCAGCCAGAATACCCATAAGAAATGCTGGAGTATAATGTTATACTCAGGCAAAGTGTCATGCTAAAAGTCTCCTCCCTTAGGCTTAAAAGGAGGAAAAATATCTTGTGTGTGTTTGCTTGTTGTATATATATGTGTGTATTTATGTAAGCAGGTGTGCATGCATATGTGCGCATACACTCACCAGGTTGTTTCCTATCAATTATTTCATATTGTCTACATAGTTTATTTAAATTCTGAGGGTGCAGCATGTCGGTATGTAAGTCATGCAGGTGTGTTTCAAGTATTCTGCATCTCCGTGTGGAACAGAGGGTTTGTTGGGGAGTGAAACAGAGACATGGCTTGTTGTAAGGGAGAAGTAGAGGAGCAGGAGAAGGGAGCCAGCTCAGGTCAGGTGAGGCAGGAAATGACAGGAAGGTGGCGCTGTTGTCCATAGTCTCTTATCCAGAGGAGGGACGGGCGGACAAGAGGACGGAGGGAGGAGCTCAGAGGTCTAGTGGGTTGGAGAGGGTGGGGGTCTCCGACTGCCAGGGGACACATAAGCACAGACAGGAAGAGATACAAAGAAGAGAGGACAGGAACAGGTTGGATTAGTGTTTCCAAGGTTTTTGCTTATTTCTGGACCCCCGTGTGTAAATCCATGCACATACACTGAAGTACTGCACCGTCACTCACACGGACGACCACTTATATAATGAGATAACACAAGGATGAAACCTGAAGACATGACCAACACCACAGAGATATCAGGCTCATTTAACATGGCCACAATGCAGGTAATGTATGTTTGCAGTTGAGGCCAAAAGTAGGCAGCATTACTACATATTACAATGTCTTAGTACGGTATCATGTAGTTTTAAAATATTTTCATTTTAATTTCTGTAAATAATCCTATGGTGCTACAGAGGGTGAAAAATATTAGGAACAGCAATCAAGAAAAAATCCCTGAAAGGCGTACAAGAGTGAAAACAGCATATTGTCGGAAATTTTCAGTTTGAGGGCATCCATTTAATTAATGAATGAATGAATTAATGTGGTTTCCAACAAAGAAAAAATGTCACAGGTCACAAGATAATTATATAGATAAGTAAAAATCTATTTGCCAGTTTGTAACAGCGTTCTGATCGGTCGATTCATAGCTTTATTCTGATTGATTGGTTTGTAGCTGTTTTAATTGATCTATTTGTAGCCTTGGTTCTGATTGCGCAGTCTGTAGCAGCGTTCTGATTGGTCGATTTGTTGCTTTATTCTGATTGTTTAAATAAAGAGATTTTTAGAGGTCTTAAATGAAAAAAAAAAACTGCCTGGTATTTCCTAAGAAAAAGGCAAAAATCCACTGAGGATTACCTGCACACTCACAAACCTCTGTACTGAACAGTTATGTTGGCAGATAGGATGACTTTGAATGACAATATCAGACATTCAGAGACAAAGCTAGGGATGGGTGGGATGTTGTGGCATATACATATATATATATATATATATATATATATATATATATATCACATACAACATTGACACAAAACCAAGAATAATCTTCAGGTTTTGGACATTTGAGTTGAATTCTGTTTAACATGTTGCTGATGTAAACGGAGTAAAAATTCCTCTTTCCGGTTCTGACATACTCATACCCCTTTAAGAAACAACTTAGCATCGACGCTAAAATGCTGTGAGAAAAATCAGCTCACACACCGATGCAAACACACACACACTTGGTGTGTTTGCCCATGCAGCGCTCTAGGAGGAGAAAGGAAAAGTAAGAAAAAGGAAATGGCATGCAGTGAAAGGATGCGTTCTGAGAGGAAGCACAAGAAGGAAAGTGATGGTGGTGATGATGATGATGATGATGATGATGATAATGGTGGACAGTACCCAACGTACCAGAAACGTTATTCCTCACTGGTCAGTGATAGTGATTCTGTAGAAGGAACCATAGGCATGTGTGGGACAGAGGTGTGGTGAGGGACAGAGGGATGAAGAAAAGAGAAAAGGAGTGCAAACAGTTACAGTGCAGGAAATGACCAACGTCACATGTGCTCAGCTCTCACTCAGGACAGACCAGAACGCAGGAAAAATGGTTTTAGATGGAAAAGCATCAGCGCTCACAAGTTGAGGAATTTGAGATACTTGGATCTGATTTTGAGCCTGAATTTGCCAGTGAGAGCTTTGCTCAGCAACGTTAGTGTCCCCTGCGGCAAAAGAGGCAAGCTGCTACTCAACGCTACAATGAATCGGTCCAGGTTAAAAAAATTAGCTATCTCACAAACACAGGCAAGCACAAGGCAAAGATTACAGGTGCGGCGACGGATACAGTAAATGGAGAACAGAAAGGAAACCCTCATTGCAGTCACTGAGTGACTGTAAAGTCAAAGTATCTAAATCGTCCCGATGAGGACAGTGATGGGGTGTGTGTTAGCGATGAACAGTGGAGTGTTAGGTGTTGACAGTGATGCTTGGCAGCGTGTTGAAAGTTCAAAGTGGTGGCAGAGAGGTACCAACAAGTCAAGGTGAAACCAAAAGACACCAAGAGAAAAAGAACACGATCAACTGATGATGATAATCATATCACTGTCTATCCATCTATTCAGGGATCTCTATTCATCTATTCATCTATCTTCTATCACAACCAGTGCTCTCCACTTTCATTTACCTCCTTCATCCCCTCATCCAGGTGTCTTCACATCCCCCTTAGTAACAGAGAGTATCCACACTTCAGGTCGGATAGCTTGTCATAGTATTATAAGCTATGGTTTGGGTGTTAATGTCCTTGGATCATACTCTACGTTGGTGTGAAAAAGCGTTACTGGGATTCAAACACATTTTTTCATGCTCTCACTCACCTGGGCACGCTTGGGGGTGCGCGGTTAGGCCGGGAGGGCACGGTGGGTGGCGGCCCACTGTAAGGGTCAGGAGAAGCTCCAGGACGAGACGGGACAGGGGGTCCGCCAGCAGGAGGGGGTCCAGGTGGAGGACCACGCGAGCCTGGGCGGGCCGGAGGTCCCGGTGGAGCTCTGCGGTTTGGAGTTGGACTGGTGGCTGGAGACCTGGTGGAGAAGGGAAGAGAGGAACCGAGCAAATGTAAACTAGTGACGTCTGAGACAGAAAACACAATGCACTACACACACCCTTCAACCCCCTCTAATGCTCTTCCTCTGTCTATTCGCATCATGCCATACCTTCCTCCGGAGCCGCCCCGTTGCACCTGCAGCCAGGAGTCGTCCACAGGCGGTGGCATGGCAGTGGTTACGGTGGTAGTGCTGATGTCACCGATGATGCTCAGGGCCTCTCGCAGGGCGTAGTACATCCGCAGCATCTCGTCACGGTGCTGGGCTTGTTCCTGAGACTCCTCCATCAGCGTGTTCTGGTCGCCGCACGAGTACAGCTGAGCCAGCAGCTCGGCGTTGATGAACTCCTTCGTCTGGGCACAGAGAGAGAAACGTTTTGTGATGACAGTTCTAGTTTCAGAACATCTTCATCACCCCGGCCCCGCACCACAACCACCACCACCAGTAACTCACATTGTTGATCATGAGGTGCATGATGGTCTTGGGCATCAGGTCTCGGACAGTCTTGTTGACGATGGCCATGTAGGAGTCGACCAGGTTACGAATGGTCTCCACCTGCCGCTCCAGCTGAGGGTCCATGCTGTGCATGAAGTTGTCAGAGCTGCTTTCATCACCACCATCACTCTGCAGAGAAAAAATGTAGAGAGTTTTGATTGCACTGGGAAGAGTTGAAGAAACAAGAACTGTAAATGTGAGGCATCATAAAATAGAAAGAAATTGCACGGTAGGAAAAAAAATGCAAAATGGTCTTTTTTGTCTGATTGTTTTGTCCAGCAATGTAACAAAATCATCTCACATTCTTGAATTAAATCTCATATTTTCTTTGATTTGCTGGTACAGCCCTTTCCAAATGTGCTTATATATATATATTTTACTAATCCCATATATAATGGTATTATTATTAGAGGGAGTACTTTGGATAAAATGTTCCTTGTAAAAATGTTAAATTTGGTCACACTATGCATCCCTGTCTTTATGCTTATATAACATAACAATAAACTGGTTCTGAATGTAACACTGAATAACTGTTGACTGATTACCGCCAGCTAATCAAATCTAATGTGATGGCCAACAAATAAGTAGGGCTGCATTTCGATGATTTCTCTCTAGTTAATAGTTTTAGGCTGAAACGTTCAAAAGAAGACACAGTGATGAAGAAAAGGAACGACGTAGACCAAAGTAACGTACCTTTCCTTCCTTCTCCTACAAGGTCAAACAGCGATGAAAGATAAAAGACATTGAAAAGGACAGATACAGAATCACATGAGAGACATGACAACATTCAAATAAGACTCCAATTACACATCATCGGCAACAACAGCCTAGACGACTCGTACAAAAACAAACAAACCAATAATTAACTTTACTCTTTGTCTATATGATTGTGACAAGGTGGGAGTTAAGAATGTGTTTTACTGTACATGTGGTTTGGTGAACACACATTTTTAGCTATGTATGATTAAAGCAAACAAACAAAAAAACAAAACTAGAATGTAATACAATGCTGTGTGTGCTTCTAAATAAATCTTACCGTGACCCGTTCAGGATAAACTCCAGCTCTGAGGAAGGAGGCCTTCCATGCGTCGACATCTTCCTGACTCTCACAGGCCAGCTCCAGCTGACGGTAGTCCTTATAAACATTCCTGGGAACAAGTATTGCACTGTTGTACTTTACCTGAGTACTTCCATTTAAATATATATATATATATATATGTGTGTGTGTGTTTGAAAGACAAATATTGCACTTTTTTTTCTACTCTATTTTACTCTGTTGTATTTATATCACAGATATATAGTTAATAATTACTTTTCAATTTGAGATTTTACATTCAAAAGATACGATCATGTTATAGATTAAACTGCCCAAAAGTATAGAAAACGGTTAAATTTAGCTAATAATGTAATAATATAACACTGACAGGGGCCATTCTGCATGATTAGCACCTCTACTTTCATAAGTACACTTTGTTATAGATTCTTTTAGGACTTTTACTTTTACATGAGTATTTTCGTATTGTGGTATTTCCACTTTTATTGAAGTAACTTGTCCAGACATTTCTTCCACCACTGTCTTAAACTTTCAGCTTTAACTGCAATCTGCCATGAGAATTTTACACAGAAAACACATAAATGGAAAAGAAAAGTGGGCTGCAGAGCAAAGGCTAATGGTAACAGTTTCTTTTCATTGCTTCATTCATTTGCTTGTTTCTGTAATTATACATAATTGATGTATAATTGTGTGTGTGTGTGTGTGTGTGTGTGTGTGTGTGTGTGTGTGTGTGTGTGTGTGTGTGTGTGTGTTTGTGTGTGTGTGTGTGTATACTATATATTGATGTGCATGTGTGTCTGTAATAACACCTCTGTTCGGTGTTGAAGAGGGCGAAGATGTGCTTGCTGGACATGAATCCCTTCTCCACATCGCGCAGCTTCAGGTTGTCCACCTGCAGCATGTACTTCTTCTCTTTCTCCTGCAGGGGGCGACAGAGAAACGCACCCGTTACCCAGTGCATGTGAGGAAGGAGGAGGAAGAGGAGGAGGAGGAGGAGAGAGAGAGAGTGAGTTGCTCCATCGGTGAGGAATTTGGCCCTAAAGTAAAAATGGTCATAGAGATTTACAGTATCTGCACTGACATTGTGTATAAGAGCAAAAAAAATAAAGCCATTGTTGGCTGATCAATCTACTACTTGATATGTTGTACTTGATATAAGATTTTGCAGCATCAGCTTAACCATAATCAATGGCAGAAACCAGATATAAAGAGACGAAAAGAAGGCAGATGAAAGAAAATCAGGAGTAGACGCTCACATATTAGATTTAACAGCAGACAAAAAAAAAAGAGAAGAAAAAGGCAGGAGAGACGAATGGGAAAGTCGTACACAGTCCTCCAGTCTGTGGTTTTGATTACAGTTGTGAAAAAAAAAAAGGGTGAGCAACAAATGAGAAACACACACATGCAGAGGGGGGGGGGGGGGGGTGTTGTGCTTCCAGTGTAGAGATCTCTTGTCCTTGTAAATCTGCAAACAACATATGATATCCAGACATCCAACTATTTATGAATAAGGGAACCTCAAAGTTAGTCATCTCAGTCTGACACATGCCAGCCCTCTCTCTCCTCCCCTATGTCTCACACACACACACACACACACACACACACACACACACACACACACACACACACACACACACACATAAAAGACACACAAACGTGTTGCAGTTAAACTCCTTGAAGTCTATTGTTACAAAATTAAGTTTCTTTACTGAGGATGAATGTGCATGTGTGTGTGTGTGTGTGTGTGGGTGCGTGAATGTTTTACTAGCGACAGTAAAATTAGAATTCACAAAATGAGATGCCAAGAATAGCACAGGGTGAGTGAGTTTGTCTAAACATAGCTTAAAAATGCACACACACACACACACACACACACACACACACACACACACACACACGCACTTTGGTTGCAAACAGCACCTTTGAGTGTAGTCTCTAACTAACCTTAGAACCATCTGGATAGCTAACCATGGTCCTGCCCTGCCCAGCCCACTGTGTGTGTCTGTGTGTGTGTGTGTGTGTGTGTGTGTGTTTAAGGGAGAGTGTGTAAAAGAGAGAGACGGGGGGTGGGGGTGCGGTTGTGTGTGACCAAACTCCTTCATCAAAGGATTTACGACCTATGCAGCCAAATGGTCATATCCCCTAAATGTCTGTAAAAACTCTCTCTCTCTCTCTCTCTCTCTCGCTCTCTCTCACACACACACACACACACACACACATATATAAACACACACACACATTTGGCAGCGCCAGTACACCCAGGTGTCCTGCTATAGAAAAAAAAAAAAAAGAAAAAAAGAAAAAAAAGAAGAACTAAACAGGCAGTCGCCCAGACTGCTGAATGCTGACATCAACATTTATAGTGGCGGTGAGGGCAACGAGGTCCCCCGTTCTCCGTCTCTGGTCTATTCAATATTTCTCAATATTTGCCTTCCTCCTTTTCTCCTTCTCTCTTCATCTTTTTTTTCCCTCCTCTTTTCCCTTGTTCCCCTCACTCTCTGGCTTTCCCTCTCCCTGGGAGTGAGCAGCCTTGGACTGATTCATACATTTTCCTCTCCTCTGGCCAGTAAATCCAGTCAGGAGAGTTGGAAGCAGGAGGGGTGGGGGTTGCGTGCGGGGTGGTGGGGTGGGGAGGGGTCGGTTGGGTGTGGGGGTGGGGGGGGGGGGGGGGGGTGGGGTGGGGGGGGGCTAGTGTGTGAGTGTGTGCATGATGTGGGGAAAGTACAGAGAAACTGAACTCCTAAAGCAGTGGCAGAAAGGATATATGACAAAAGAAACTTGATGTAATAAGTTACATTATCATTTTGTATTAAGGTAGTAAGAGCTGCTATTTGGGTGTGAGAATAGTTGAAGAATTGAGTTTAGTGCACGTATAAACAAAAAAGAAAAACCGATAAGAAAGCGTGCATATATGAACGTTATTTTAACGTCATACACAGACTTCTGAAACGCAGTTTAGGCAGATTATCGAGGTTTTTCTCTGTGCCAATCAAGCCCATCTTGCATGTGTGTGTTTTTATGTGTTTTGGGGAAGTTGGGGATTGAGCACTTTCCCATATGTTCCCATAAAATCCAGTCAGCATGAGCAGGCAAAAGTATTTCAGATTTCAGACACTGAAGACACGAGAAAACAAAGTCACACGTACACACATACAGATGCACAGATATGAGAAGGAAACACACCCTTTATTTGACTTTTGTCTGCAGCGCTTTACTTCAGTGAGAGTGAATCAGAAAGATGCACGCGCGCGCACACACACACACACACACACACACACACACACACACGGCCAGTGATGCAGGCTATGGTTTTGCACTACTGGGCTTGTCAAGAGACTTCTGTTCAGTTTACATTAATCACCATGGTAACAGCTCTGGTGTAATACACAAAATATGTGTATTCATGTGTGTACAATCTACAGTGTATGCATGTCAAGATTGCATGCAAGGAGCAAACTGGGAGTGAAATGGAGTTTTTTCGAAAACTAAAAAGCCATGACTGCTACATTGCACAAAAAAAAAAAGAGAGGAAAATAAATGCAGTGTTTCTGCATTTTCGCCAGAGCCCTAGAAACAAACGGGTGATTTGATTATACAGATGTATCTAAGAATATGCACCATGTAATCACAGTATCAACTGAAGTAATGAAGTCATTAATACCTCCAGACTTCTATATTAAGTACTTTCGGTTTTTTGTCTGTAATCTTACTTTCTGTCTTTACCTGAATGTGTGACATATTATTATTAACTTACTAACTCACAGCAGTATAATTGCAGCCCTTTGCTGCGAGTCCCTTTTCCTTCATGAGCCCCTCCACTGAGAGTCTGTTCTTTCCTGGGAAAGCCTCTTTCCACTGCTTTTGGAAGGCGCTGCGGGTGGAAATGTTTTGGACGATGTCATGTCCATGGCGCCTCATGTCCACTGCAGCATCCAAACATATTATGCTCACAGCAATAAGGAAGCGTTTGGTGAAGTACTCGCCACCTGTAAGAGTCCGTGTGGCTCCACGGATGTCGTATAACTGGCTCTAACGGCTGCACTGTGGTGACTCAGCCCGGCGTTCAGCAACATGTCGACAGTACGACTAGGGCGGAAGTTTTGAACCATGGTATCCAAAGTAAGATGTGCCCGCTGCTGGATGAAGGTGTTGGAGGTTCAGGGTGCAGCCCTGTTTCCTCCACCAACCTCTAATGTACTGACTGTGTAAACTACAGTAAAATATACACCCAGTGGCCTCTTTATTAGATACACATGTACAGTCTATTGTAATTCAACATAACAGCTCTACTTTGATAAAGTTTAAAATGTTACGTTTTTGTTGACATTATTGGAAATGTGCAAATTCATTTATATGTTTATTATCGGGGTCCAAATAAAAGGTGTTTCTAATATTTTGTCATCCAATCATGAGGTGGACAGAATGTTAGAAACACCCCTGATTATAATGCAGTCCAGTACAACACCACCACCTACTATGACCTCGGTGCTAAAACATATAATTGAATTAACACCTCTATGACTGTGTCAACCAAAAAAAAAAACTCATAATTATAGGCATCATAAACTTTACAGCAGAACAGGTGTATTGGACTATATTAGATATTACAGATGTACCTAACAGTGGCAACTGATACGTCAGTGTGACCCCGATGCTCGGGGTGGGGCAGTGGACCCACCAGCAGCCATGAAGGCCTACTTACTTAAAAATGATTAACACTGATTCTGGAAAGACATGTTGTATGATTTTTTATGTTTTTTTTTTCATTATTCCTAAACACTATAAATTCAAATTACAATCACCTTGGAAACAGAAATCAGAGAGTAGAAAACCTGAGTTAGCTACCACCAGAGCTTGTTGAGAAAATGTCTTTTTATAATTTGTGAACTAACTAACTGTGAACTAACCCTTTGACCTGGGATGCTGGGTTTAAAACCTATAACAGTTGACATGCGCAGTCTTTTTTTTTTTTTTTTTGGCATACAACATTATACTATTCTCACTCATCCATTCACCGACCTACATTACTGATTTTCACATCCGTTCATTTTTGTAAATAGTTTAATAAATTCTTTTCATTTACACCTGAACCATGGTGTGATGTGTGATATGTCCTTTTTGTCTGAACCTCTACACATTCAAAATTTTTTCCTCTCATTCACACACACACACACACAAACACACACACACACACACACAGGAGACGAGGCAGTGCGCTTTGTAGTTAACCTGTGGTGTTTGGAGCAGCGTGTATGCAAAGTACTTTCCATGGTTTTGTTTTGCTGGTGAGTAATAAGGCTAATTATGAAAAGGCAGAGGAAGTTCACTTCTGGATTCATAAAGGCACTTCACCACTGTGCACACCTTCCAAAAAAACACGTCTCAAAGACTCAAACATGATTTCAAAATGTGGCTGAAATATGGCCTCCCACACCCACACACACAAACACACGCACACACACACACACACTCACACACACACACACACACACACACACACACACACACACACACACACACACACACACACACACACACACACACACACACACACACACACCGAACACCAAAAACGCACACACGGGGGCCTTACGTAATCAGTATCCAATTAACACCTTGAAACAAATCTGAGCAGTTTGGTGGGCAAAACCAAGAAGATAGTCGTTAACGGCATCCATGTTGTTTTAAGAGGCTGCATGTCTCAGTGTGTGTGTGTATGTGTGTGTGGTAGTGCGTATGTTGACGGGAGTCTGGTGACTTGGGCCATGCTTCAAAGGGCTGCGGAGAACCCGCACGGCATCTGGGAGCAATAACGCTGCTTCTAACCCTTCATTACCACAAAGACTGGGCCCTGGGTGGCAGCCAACGGCAATTTTCACAACCCTCCTCCTCACCTCCCTCCGTTTTTCTTTCCCTCCA